TCTCTCTCTCTCCCCCCCCCTCCCTCTCCCTTTCTTTCTCTTTCTCTCATTCCTACTCGACAGCAAAACGCGGCTTTTTCATGAGCCTTTTAGATATAAGAGAATCGGCGGTTATCGATCGAGTTTTCTACGAGATTGTTGATCCCCGATGCGGTTATGAAAAGGTGAACGATTGTGCAAAAAACGAGAAGATATCTCGATGAGAATTTCGGTTCTACTGTCACGAAGAAACTTTTATTTGATGTTTTGGGTGTTTGAAACTATTTTATTTGCACGGAGAGAATGTTGTAATAAAAATTATGTCAAATTTGCATTTATTTTGACAGTTTTCTGTAAAAGTAGACTATATTGAAATGATGTTGTATAAATTACTATAGAAATTATAAATTTGATCTACTTGATATATTGTGATAAAAGATCAATCGTATTTTAAACAATATATAACAATTATATAACAATTTCGGTTATAATTTTGTATGGTCCAAAATTACAAAAATCTTGTATTAAAAATTATTACAATTATTTTCAACATGTGCAAAAAATTCGTCATTTTTCTTATTAAATTTTCATTGAATATTTGGGTATTAAAAGGAAAATAAAAAGTTTCAAAAAAGATATCTCCGATATCCAATCGCAAACAAATTCAGAGTAATAAGAGCTTACGCAAGTTATTGATTATGTAAAAAGAATTTTTTAATGAAATTCTTCTGTTTACTTGCAATAATAAAAAATCCTTTTTGAATGCCTATAAAAAGAGGTAATCGATGTTGCTTATTTATTCGTAAAAATTATTAATTCTTCGAAATTAATTCCAATGATAATCTTGTTCTCTATTTTGAGAACAAGATTATCTTTGTTTTTTTATTTCTCTATTTTTGATAGATTATTTCTCTATTTTTTAAAAAAATTTGACAATTTTATTTGATAATTTTATTTGATGACAAACTTTTTAAATGATAAAAACGGTTTTATTATATAAAACTTAATACACGAGAAGAAAGTGATTAGATTAACCAAATATCCGATGAAATATTAACTAGAATTCCAATTGAAGTTACCAGAATTTTGTTCAAATTAACAAGATTTTAGTTAACCAAACAAGATTTCTGACTGACGAGTTCAAGTTGAACAATTACAAGTTTTGCTCCATCAGAAATCTTGTTAACTCGAACAGAATTCTAGTAGCTTCAATTGGAATTTCTGCTTTGTTCAGACATTTAGTTAAACCAACCAAATTTCTTTTCCATATACTATTGGAATATGTCATGGTAAAACACCAAGTCTTCAAGTGTTGAAAATTTATGTACAGGGAAAGAAATTGCTACAGCAAGGGATTGACGACTTGAAACTCGTCACTAGGAGGTACGCGAGGAGACAGGACAAATGGGTGATGAACCGACTGATTCGCCGGAGTGACCGACAAGTAATTAAATTAGCTCGCCTCATATTTCGTTAACGATATACACACGCACACACACACACACACACACACACACACACACAGAGTGACCCACGTAAAGTGTTACAAGCTAATAACTCTAAACAAATAGGACCCCCTATACAATGTTACATATTTGGATTCTACGGGAAAAAGTAAACCTTGTCTGAAATATTTCTTTGGAAAATACTCCTATCAAAAGTTATAAACATTTAAACTTTAATGCAGAATGCATTGGAATTAATGATAAATTAAATAAGACTCATAGTTTTTCTATCTTACACCTTTGGACTATTTTTTATGGGAGTATATCAAAGAGGAAGTCACATCTCAACCACTTACGACGAAAGAAGATAAAACGAAGAATACGTACAGCTTGCATTAAGATGACCCCGAAATGTTGTTTAGAGTTAGGCAAAGTTTTGTAAAAATAATTAATAAGTGTTTAGATGTTAATGGTCAACAGTTCGAACATTTAATAAAATAAAACAAAACAGAAAAACTATGAGTCTTATTTAATTTATCATTAATTTCAATGCACTCGACATTAAAGTTTAAACGTTTATAACTTTTGATAGGAGCATTTTCCACAAAGAAATGTTTTAGACAAGTTTTTTTCCGTAGAATCCAAATATATAACATTGTATAGGGGGTTCCATTTGAAACTTTGAAGTTATTCCCCGCCCCTCTTGAAGGGGGACGTAAGTGGAATTTTGTTCACGTTGTTTTGTTTACGTAGTAGAAAGGCCCCTCGAATATATGAAACTTCCTCATGAACAATTTTTTGATAGGACAAATATGTTTAGAGTTATTAGCTTGTAACATTTTATGTGGGCCACCCTGTATATATATATATATATATATATATATATATGTACGCGCATATTACGTATTTCTAAGTAGCGTTACGATCACACAACTCGTCTTCCGCGCGCCATAGTATAGGCAAGAAAGACGTCGGATGAAGTGTAAATCACCGCTTTCCTTTTTTTCGAGGTTCCTCCTGTTTATTCTTTAGATTGCACCGACGTGACGAACTGGGACAGCTGCGTCTTAGAACCGTCGGTGGCGATCATTTCCGCAATAATGCGCGGTGAGAAACCCGAACAGCGACCGTTGGTGCACGAGGTTATCGAGGACCAAAAGTACGGCGATTATAATGAAATAGAACACAATTTTTGCGAGGTAATTTGAAAAATTCGTTACGAGAGCCGAATCTACTAGATACTGCATTCTTTTTCTTTTTAGTTCTTGTAAAATTATCATTGTTTTTTTCAGGAATGCAAGAAAGTGTTCGTCCGCAAGACTCAGTGGGAGCTACACATAAATGGCTTGAAACACATGAGAGTCTTGAAAAAGAAGCAAAGAGAGGCGCAAATGGCGCAGAAAACTCAATCGACGGAGATAAAAACCCAAAAAGAAATTTCTTTGACCAGGTCGTGACAGACGGTTTCTTTATAAATGACAAAACGCGAACGCATTCGTCCTTGCGTTGCAGAAGGCTATTGAAACTGTAATCGTATAACATTACATATTTTGTCAATGACTGTGTTAGTGTGAATATCTTCGCGGAAATAAACCTGTATTTTCCTTTTGTAATTCAACGAGTCCTCATTATTAATTTATTATTCATTTTATTCATTTTATTATTTATTTTATTATCCAGGTAGATATCGACGGCTGTTAACAGCTTAATAGCTGTTAACAAAAAGGATCTCCCACGACTTAGTGCCTGCTAAGTTACCCTCTGAGTTAACTTACCACGGGGTTGGCGGTACGGACATTAGTAAATCGCGCACTTTGTTTTAAATATCGACGAGATATTATTGAGAGAGAGATTTGACTATAAATATTATATATTATTATTAAATATATATTAAATATGAAATCGACATTCTATTCTTTCTTTTTTTTTAAGAATCGATTATCTCCTCGCGATATTTTCTAATCCTGATTAATTTCTATTTAAATTATAAAGTATAAAATTGTGTTACCATTCCGCGGCTCTTAACACAGACTTCGCAACTAATAAAAATTAACCGATTACATTTAGTCAGGACGCAAATCTTAATTAGTCGAGATTTAAACCCGCTTAGCCAAGATATGAACCGTTGGTTAAGCGAATGAACTTCTTTCACGATATCGCTGGATGACGCCAGGTGATTGAATGATCGTCTTTTTTTCTTTTTTAAATGTGATTTGAGTAACCTCTAAAGATCTTTTTTCTTGTAATTAGTACGATCTAACACCAAGTTCGATGATTTTATTGTGGAGTAATATGACTCAATATAAAAAAAGACTTCATTTTCAATCAATATAATTTAACGAAGAATATGTATTACGACGTACACATACCTTTTCTTTCCCTCTCTTTTAACAACAAATGTAAAGTGGCACTATATATTTTTAATAAAATATTAGAGATGGAAACTAATTATATTATATATATATATATAATATATGTTGTATAATATATATTATACAATAGGGAATTATAGGAAAGATTTAAAAATCCATCCAATACTTTCGATATTTTCGAGATATAATTGTCAGAAGTTAATATCTTTTCTAATCGATTATTTGAACATAGGTTGTTCCTTTCATTATTGCTTGTCCCTACAGAGAAATACGTACTGCATTCGAGTAAATGTCACTTGTTCAAGTACTTCATTGGTTTATACAAGACATTTCATTTCAAACAGATCAGCCAAATATCTCGAAAACTGAGCTTGGCAGAAAAAAATGTTTTGAATAAAATTTATAGGGTTTTGAGGAAGAAAAAAATATGGTGACTTGAATTTTAACTAAAGTTATTTACTAATGTCATATAAAGGTCAACTTTGTTTTTTTAATAGAAAATAATACTTTTTATATCAGATTTTAAAAAATTATTCAATTCTATGTAGGAAATCCTTAAGACGTGTATGACCTAAATCCAATAGTTTAGAATTTACTTGGCATTGAAAAATGCAACTTCGCCAATTTCCATCAACAATAATGCGCGTGTGTATTATGAATGCGTTCGAGATATTCGGGGCTAGCCTGTTTAAAATAGGACACTCTGTATAATATAATATCATGTAATAAAAGAACACTTGCACACAAAACTTGTTTTCTTTTATTTACACAAGAGTTGCATAAACATATTTTAACGCTATTATCAGAAAAATATTGTTTTGTCGAAGATAACCATTATATAAAAGAAGAAAATTGTGTAATCGGTTTCCTTGGCAATAGAATAGTGTTCTTCTCCGTGTAATTGAGATTGAGCTAACGATACGCGGGATCCTATACGGTTCTCCGGAAACTGGAAAATCGATACGCAAGTCGAATCGCGTTTTCTCCGGACGCTCACACACGTGTTATAAACGTTATCCTCGACCGAATCTTTCGGTTGTCGAGTGCTCGCGCGAAAGCAAGCAGAATCGTGCATTCTGACACTTACGAACGTGCAATCCGCACGGAGGCGAACAACGCTCGTACGGGCCGCAATGCTGCAGCCCACATATCCGCTGCCGCGATTGTTGAAACGTGAAAATGCGGCTCTTTCGACCACTGGCGCACGCCAGTGGAGTTAATTCACGCGAATAAATTCCTTCCGCCTTCTTGACGACGATGATAATAACAATAATCGCGAATACCGAATTGCGTAACAATGACAATTCTCCACGAGCGGTGTCCTATTAAGACATCAAAACAAAGTCTGATCTTAGCACGAGGCATAAAGTATTCACAAACGTTGGACTCTCCTTTTAACAACAAATGTAAAAGTAGCGCTACTGTTTTCATTTTTATTACTTAGTACTTTGTCGTTATTTTGTTGTTTTGTTAAATTGTTAAGAAAAATTTATTAGATGGCAATTAATTATAAAAAAATTAAGAGTCGACTTAATACTTTTAATGTTCTCGAAATATAATTATCAGAAACGAATATTATTTATATATCTTAGGCATAAATTCTTTTTTCACTATCGCTTGTCTTTACACGCAGAAAAATATATACTGTATTCAAGTAAATATCACTTCCTCTACAGCACAAAATATTGCTGAAAGATTGCAGGAATATTATAATATTGCGACATATTACAAACCTTGCGGGAATATTTTAGGAATATAATATTGTAACACTCTGTGGAGAATATTATTGCAATGTTATTCTGACGTCAAATTTCTAATATTCCAAAAATATTGCAAAAATATATATTTGATGTGTGATAATGTTATATATGGGCGGATTTTATCAATTGATTGGTAAACTTAACAGTTAAAACATGCATTTGTTTATTTTAAGAGAAAAACAAAAACATGATTTAACTATAAATTGCCTTACCACTTAATTGGTGGAATACGCTGAATATAATTTAAATATTAGTAGTCCTTCTACAACATTCTTAGAACATATTACATTAAGAAATTTTAGAAATATATTTGCAACATTTCGTGAAAGATTTTAAAAACATTGCAAAAATATTGTATATTGTTTAAAGTGGACATAGGAATGTTGCTATAATGTTTTAGAAATTTATAATGTGTGTATATATATATATATATGATATATATAATATATAATATATAATTATATATATATATAATATATAATATATAATTATATATATATATATATATATATATATATAATATATATATATAATGTGTATAAATATGCATTTAACAAATATTTTTTTGCTGTAGCGATTGTTTCAAGTATTTCATTACTTTATATAAAATTAAATCTCTATCACAAATTCATCATATAAGCCTCAAATTTATTCTAAATATATTTTAAATCTTAGTAAGTTTAACATTTCATCTTTCTTCGTGCTTTAACCTTTTCAGAGATATTGCTGACTGGTTGAATTTTTCAAGATAACATTGCGATAACGGTCGCACATAAGTACATATTACTTTCCGTATAAATGTTATTTCCACCAGTAATACCACTCGCGATAAAACGCTATCGCGGAAATCGGAATCAGGGATCGAAGCTGTAAATGTGTAATCGGATATTTTTGCGAAGTAGAAATATTCTACCGTCGCTGCTCATTTCTATTTCAAATATGTCGATATCCCGCAGTTGCGATTAATTTTCCCCGCCAGTTCACAATTTTTCACTGCGACATTCGTGATTTTTATTGGCATTAGTTTTATCATTGGAACGTCCGTCATATCGCGAATACATTCTCCTAGCGCAAGTGTTTTTCCAACGTATGTTCACACGCACGCCGTCACGCGACAACATATACTCTCAAAGCACACAGAGTGTCTGACGCAAAGTATTCTATACCTCGTGTACATGTACATCAACTGAACACAAAATTCCTCTATCATCTTACAAACAATTACGTAAAATTGTGTGTTATTAGTTAAGGAAGCTTAGCTAATTATCACACGCGATATAGCGGTTGTTTACAAAATGGCAGGGAAACTTTGTAATCAGTTTGTCCCAGTCTACATGTACACGAGGTATGGGACACTTTGCATCGGACACCTTGTATATACACACGCATGCACATATGCATCGTTGCGTGCGAGTCCGCCGTTTACCGAGTCATTGTACCCCGGCATGCATGCACTAATCGCCATTACATATGCGCGTCGCATTAAGGCAGGTCGCTCGCTGATACACGTCGAGGAAGCGCTTTCGAGTAGGAAGCGACTTCTCCATTCATTTCGCTCGAGCTACAACGAAACGCGAATTTTTGAAAGCGAATCCTCCGCAGCTGGCATGAATCCGGATCTCCGGTGGGGATTTGATTTTGTCCCGGCGAGAGGAGGTGGACACGATTCCTCCATGCACCGCAAGTCCATCGAAAACCGAACTTCGCAGTGCGAGAGATGAGGTGAAATTCGCGCGGGTTTCAATTTCGCAATGAACGGAAAAAGAACCTTTGGTGCTTCGCTCTTGGACTCAATATTTCGCGACGCGAACCAAGTCGGATCGTGAAATGGTCGCTGAAATGGAAGTGAAGAGAACGAGCGCCGCAATAGATTCGATTTCGCACAAAGACACGCGGCACGCAACGACCGTTACGCGGAATAATGGCACGCTTGCAGTCTCATTACCCGTGACTCAGGCGCAAGAACAAAAACAACCGTCGTTCGTGCGCGCGATCGTCATTTACGCATTTTGTAGCGGTTCGTTAAGCTGATCACCTTGCACTTTTTTTTTCCTCTCATTACCGTTCGCTTGATATATCGTGCCGCTAAGAAACGACATATGGTCGTATAATAACTTATATTTCCGTTATGACGACAATTTTCCTTTCTTCGTGCTTTAACTTTTTGAAAAATACTGGCACATATGTATGAGTTTAGATATGTTTAATTTTTCTTTTCTATATTCTAACTTGAATATTGTTGATTACATGTAACGAGAAAACATTACTGCGAATAAATATTACCATATTTATTAATAATAATATGTTATTTAATAAATATTGTTATTTATAAATATTCACCAAATTTTATAAAAAGAAAAAAAAGAATCTTATCGTATGATCGATAGACATTATATATATACCACTTTAAAATTAAATCAGAGTTTATTCTAATTTTAATAAATTTATCTCTGGAGAGATTTATTTGTGAGTAATCATAAATTTATTTCTGAAAAACTTTATTCGTGTATAAAAATAATATATTTATTCCCCTGAAAAGATTTATTAAATCTTATACTTTAAGTTAACACTTTGATCATTGATTTGCGTTGGTTGAATAAAATCCTAACTAATGAATAATTCATCAAAGATACGGTAAATAAATCAACCTGAGAAGCGTGTATCCTTTACGTCGTTTCGTTGGTTTTGTACTTCGTGCAATCGATTTTTCAAATGTCATTAATACTTTATACGTATATACCGAATAAAACGCGGTAGTATTATAGCGCCAGTGACTGTCAGAATATTCGACGGGTGTTAAAGGTGACAGGACTCAATGAAACATGCACTTTTGCGCATTGCATTTTACACGCTGCACGGTTCTACAAATCCGTCGAGTCACGGCTTCAGACGTATTTCTCTTCTCGGAAAAATATCCTATCTGCGCAAATTTCGTCCTTCCATCCGTTCATTCGCACGCGCGTTCTCGTGAGATCGCGTATTTTTAGATTTGACCGAATTCGCGGACTCTCCTTCATTATTCGGCGCTCACGCGAACGGACGACGGCCGTTGTCAGGTGCACCTGCCGAGAACATATGCGGCTATTCACGCGGCAGCTGGACAGAGCCTAGTTTAGCGTCTTCGCGTCTCTTCTGCTTCGTAAATCATTGTTACCACTCTCTCTCTCTCTCTTTCTTCCATTCTCTCTTTTCCCTTCCCTCTCTTTTATCATACGTATACCGATATCTATGGCGATATCCTTATACTCTATATAAGTTTTCCGCGACGCTGATTGATTTTCAACTCTTTAATTAATCATTTTACAGCTGTCATTACATAGCCAGATGCTTAAAAAATCACAACCTTTTTCCTCGATGAATCTTGCAACGTATTCCATATCCAATAAGAGAGTTTGTCTCGTAGTAAAATTCTCAAGAGATACATTTTCTTATTGGCTAGAATGCATTACGAAGTTCATTGAGGTAAAAGTGTTGCAACTTTTACCACGTTGGCTGCCACGCTGCTAATTTCCACTGACTATTTTAATCCTTAGCTCGAGTTGGAGTTAAAGACGCAGTAAGTCAATGATATTCACGACACATTTTATTAACTCTCCGTCAGTTATATATTTAATTTGTTATACGCAGCTGTACACTCTCTCTCATGATCACCACCAGGCAATAAAGGCAATAAAGCCTGGAGTTAAGCATCTATATCAGATGTTGGATATTGATTACAAGTTTAGTTTGATAAAATAATCACCAAGACAATAATCAAAATTCATGAATTATTTTATATATGCAATTAATAAATTAGTATATACGTAATCACGAATAATTAGATTGATTAACCAAATTAATTATTAATCACTGAATAATCAAACTTTGACATGAAGATCAATTGATTTTGATATTTGATTTGCCGATTATTTTAGTCAATTAAAAATTGAATCGATTAAAATAAAAATATCAATGTCTATACACATATCACACTCTTTTGCTTCTTTAAATGTATGAATATTTTAACTTTTAAAATAAAATATACTTATATATATCCTATGTTGTAAAAGTTTAAATATTCGTGTTTAAAAACTCAAACAATAAGATTATAACGTACATAAAAATATATACTGCATTGAAATAAATTAATTATTAGAAATATTTCACAAATCTATCACAAGTTTATTATAAGCATAAAATTTACTCAAAGTACATCCTGAATTCTAGTAAGTGTTTAACATTTTTATAAAGAATATTAATTTTAGAATCCTACACGTGGGTAAAATTTACTTAGATCAACTTTTTAAACATTACTGTTCTCAAAACTGTGTTTCGTCTTGTCATTATAACTTTCTCCAACTTCATTTAACAGCAAAAATATTAATAGATTCATATTCTCCGATGTTTTCTATACTGATTAAAAGAAAGAATCGAATTTTAATAATTTTTCCGAAAGTTATGAGCAAATAAAAATGCGTTGGATAAAATTTTCCCGTGTTTCTTTTAGAGTTCTAGGATTAAATTAAAAAAAAAAAATTGATTTGCTTACCAGAGTTTACTAACTTTTTCTTTAATAAAGAGATAGATATCTTTGCAAAGAAAGTAAATTCTTCTTTTGAGCACACGATAACGCGCTTTTTTAATTTGCGATGAATATATTTTAAAACTAATATGATGTTGATGAGTATATTTTAAGACCAATACCAAGCAGATTTATTAAGACTAATATCAAGATAATTAGTAGAAGATAATTATTAAAAGGAAAGCAAGCAACCGTTTTTCTCAGCAGTAGCATGCTATTTTTCTGTGTGCAGGTGTACGTGTCCAGACATTGGTACTTTTACTTTAATGCCCAACGCACTGATCAGACTGTACAATTAGACTGCACAACCGAGAGTGCCAGCGATGCGTGTCGCGCGAATCCTGCGGGCAATTGTGACTCGCCGATGGAGCGGAGTGCTTTAACCGGCGACGCTGTTGTGAGTCCACGCTGTGGGTGGCGATGACGTTCGCGAGAGTGGGGCGTCCAGCTGACCGGCCGGAGCAAACTGTCTCGCCGTATGCTGTACGCCGTCGCGGCGGCTTTGACAGTAGTGCAACAACCGTTGCGAGAGTAGCATCGTGCCGCCCGTTATTGCTGACCAAAGAAAAGGCTAGCCAGCGTTTGTTTCGCGAGCAACCGAGCGATCGTCGCGTCGTCCAGTCGCGAAGAACTCTTTCGCAAGTGGTTCGTTCGCAAATTCGGCGGACTCGTTTTTCGTTTTTCGTATCGGCTGTCTTTCGGGCAGTTACATTAGAAACACACCTCGTGGAGAACTGAAGAGACTTGCTTTCCTTAAAAGGGGAATTTTGGTCGGCGGCGCGCGCACGAGGTACGGCCGGAGATCGATTCGCCGGTCGATGCGCGATTTCAAATCCGCGCGCAGATGTTTGAATAAACATTAGAGGGGAGATACAGTCGGGTGTCGCGGCGAACACACAAGGGGACCGTTATTACGATATTCCACGAGGACACGCACACGTCCGCACGTACGTATACACACGTATACCGGCGCGGTGCGGTTGCGCGCGCGATAAACGTTATCGCGGTGTGGTGGCGCGACGCTAAATCCTTTCGGAGACGGCGGCGAGGAGAGGACCGGCGCTTTTCAGGAAGTGTCGCGGCGGTGCGGGTTCCTGTCCTGTGTGTTGCCCTTCGCGATACCGGAAGTGCATATTAACCAGCTAAGGAGAACGATGCGGACGGTCGGCTCTTCGTGAAACAGTCTCTCTGTCTGTCTGTTTGTCTCACGTTCTGTCATCCGTTCAATATATTCGGTATTTAAGCGATGCCACGGCTCGTCTCGCCTCGTCAGAAGGTAAATAGATTCTTTTATCTTGCACCCCCTCTATACAATAGCCGTCAAAAGTTAGAGATCATTTATCAAAATGTTTATATCTCGAGCATAGTTACTTAGATTATCGTCATTAATAAACATCCTTATCAGTGATCTCAAACTTTTGTCTGGTACTGTATAAGCACGTCTCACGCGTGTGCGACTCGTCTCGTCCGTGACTTTTAGTTACGAATATTTCTAAGATCAAAACATTAGTGTAAAAATGGGCTAATAAGAGTTGCTTTTGTGTGAAAATAATGTTCAATAGAAGAACCAAACTGTTGGTGAATCGGATTTTCTTTGCACTTTATCGATCAACCTTGGATTTGACAGTTGGTTGCATGATTACTATGATTTCTGTATAGACTTCCCCCTTTCGATAATTTGACTGTTACATCATTCCAATTGTTTTGACCTTGTTATTGTTTACAAAGTTTGCTGAAGATGAGCCAAAGTGGGATCGAAGTATACACTATGATAATACTCTTAATATTATATTCTTAATATCGATCAACATCGTGTGTGGTTTTTCTGTTAGACATTACTTTCGTACAATTATTAGTGAATTAATTGTTTTTATATTAACAAATATTACTGTCGTGTGTAACGATCGAGGCGAAATATTCAAGAGGAAGTACGATGTTGTCTCTCTCATAAATATAAATTGCATATATGATTATAAGAAATATTTGGGCTACCTGTGATTTAATCAAGTATGCTATAAAATGAAGGACATCTAAACGTCTACAGATAAAACTTTGATTTTTTAATCAATAATATAGTAAGTTGATTACTCTTTACGCGTACAAATAGTACGTTAGAATGATACCGTTTACATCTTACGTAATTCAAGTAAAAACTGATAAGAATACAAGGTTTGTAACTACTTGAAAACTCTTATGGGTAGCTCTGATATAATATTTCAACGTCTGAAAAGAATAATCGATTTAAATCGCTCGATAAAGCTTGATCGCATCGCCCTGGGTGTTTTTACTGCGAATTTCATTGATTTCATTATTAAAATATTATTATCGTTATTAAAACTTTATTTATCCAGCGCTTCGGGACAGATCACTTAAAAAGAACAATATAAAGTATCACAACTTTCAAGCAAACAACACATTAGTACAGGGTTGTGTCATACTGTGCGTGTTATCACGCACTGGATTTAAATATAGATCACGCGTTTTCGCTTCGTTATCGCGGTAACTCGTAAAGCCGACTGTTAACCTCAATCACAGGGAAGATACGAAATAACGCGCCTCCCGTTTCCTCCAAGATAGATACCTCCGCGTAATAACGCGCGTACCACGTGTAATTCACGCACTTGTAGCGTTTTATGAAAAAAAAGTAACATTGAGAAGCGATGATTGCGTGACGGTGTATCATAAGAAAGAGAGAGGAAATAAGCGCCTACTGCTGACTATGTATGTCACAATTGAAATCCGCCAATGTCAAACGACGCGGTAGAAAATACAGGAAGTGATTCACGATCTTGAAATGGTACGTGTACATTAAATGCACGATCTCGGCAATCGTCAACGCATCCCGATCCCGGTAGTCGAGGCGGATGTTTGGGGGATTTGCGAACGATCCAAACCGATCGATGATGACGTATCTCGTATCTCGCTACCGTATCTCGCGTTCGAGTCTGTCACGTAGAGACTATATAGCGCCAGAGGACATGCGTTTATTTAAGTATTTGTCTTGAAAGGAAGGGTGGATACAAAATCACGAAATGGTCTGTTTAGAACATAAACATTTTTCCTTGAGTTTCATTAAAATCGGAATAATATTACATAAATAGAAAAACATTAATTTGATAATATAGCAAAATAAATTTTTGAGCTTCTCGAAATTTTGCACTAATATTCTCCATGTGATTGAATAAAATCAAACAATGTCTTATTAGTTAGAATGAAATTCTTGCAAGTGTATGATATATTATTTCTGATAAATTCAATTTTCATTCATAAAATGATTGAAAAAGAGCAAACTGGCGGACGATGTAAAGTCCATAATTAAGAGCCGGCAGGAGGACTGTGAAAACCTCTCATGGAGACTCACATTAAAAGAAATTATCCAATAAAAAATTAAAAAACGGATATTTCCGATCAAAATACCGATGAATTTTTGTTTCCGATCAGGATATCCGATTAAATTTAATCGAATATTTCCGATTATAATGGCAATTCATCAGATAAACCGATCAAAAAATTATGGACCGATATTTCCTGATCGGATATAAAAATTCGTATTTTGGTCGGAAATATCCGCTTGTTAATTTCTTATCAAATAATTTCTCTCAGTGCAGGATACATATTTTATATATGGCCTTCTTATCCTGCACTACTAAACCAGATACCAGCACTCGGTATCAGGATGAGATGTTGTTATTACAAAATAAAATATACAAGGATAACAAGGTCATGGCAAGCATTAATACAAGAAAAAAGGTTGCCTCTATCATGTTTATATAGTCAGTCGCAACAATTAGTTACCTGAGAAGTAGTAACTTCGAAATTCTAAAATATAAATCATCTAGCCCCGGTCTTCCTTAATCAGCGATTCGCGTTGGTAACGAAGTTTCGTGGAATTAATTCACTCGCGCACGAATGAATATTCCATATGGCATCGTTCGCGCGGACACGCGAACCTCGCGGCACGAGAAAACGCAAAAGGGGTCGTTACGCTTGGTATATACATGGAATTACAGATTTCGACCTTACGGCGATTAGCAACGATAACGCTGCCGCGGCGCTTTTCGAGTTTCTGCCGCTCCGTCTTGCGTAACTTGGAGCGCGATTTGGAGACTTGGACTTTGCGATGATAGAAAGCTCGGCCGACGAGGAGATGCGATTACTCGGGCGAAAAGACGATACCGTAGTTCGCTCAATTAACAGGCGCAATTAATACGGCGAATTAAAAGTTATCTGCATTTATACTTATCGCCAGCCATTCGTCACGGTTCTTTGCGGTAAACCACGCCACCGTGATATCTCGTCAAATTAATTTTCGCGCGAATGCGACGCGACCCTCACGCACAGTTGCGATCTGTTATAATTAGCGGCATAAGAATGTCCAGACCGAACGCGTGTGCTGTTAATTTAGACAAAAGTTACTATATTTCTCAAGTCATTCGAATGTGCTTAGTAATGTTGAGTATGGGTCGATTAAATTCTCTTTGACTGAAATAATCGGCAAATCAGTAGTCAGAATTAATCAATCATCTAATATAATATCACAAATAGTTTCATCGACTGATAAAATTAATTATTGATCAAACATTGATATGATTAATCGTGCACTGATTAGTAATCGATTTCACCAGTCGATTAAATTATCAATTGATTAATTTTGATGATTGATCCGCCATTACATATATGACAATTGATTAATTTTGATTGATTGATGATTACCGATTATTTTAGTTAATAAAAAGTTTCATCAATTTGTACTCGTATTTACTTTGTTGGTGTATATCTTACAACACACTAAGTCTGTTCTTCTTAGCTGAACTAGGTTGCACTTTCCGCTTTGAAGCAAGTATATGATGTAGCATTAAAGAGAAAAGAAGCAATGTTCCAGTCCAGCTAAAATGAACGGACCTATCAGCAACTTACAATAAATTGGCGTAGCAAATCCTTTCAAAGATGCTTGCTCAAAGATCCTTTCAAAGATACTTCAGTTGCTTGCAAACGTCACGGTTACAGCACGAGCTGTTATACATATAAAAAAATATGTAGTGTATTCAAGTAAATATATTACTTGTTTCAAGTATTTCGTCTTATCTATAAATCTATCATATAAATCCACCACAAGTCACAAAATTTACTCTGAATTCTAATAAAAGTTTAAGTAATACTCCAATTTATTTTTGCACGTGTTGCATAAAAACATTTGTAATTCTATATAACCAATAAGAAAACTTGGCAGAAAAATGCCAGTATTCTGTCGGTAAAATTTTCAGCTTTAGCATTCCCTTAAGACTATTAGTTCAAAAAAATATTTTTTTACTGAAAATAAGAATTTCTTCAAGAAAAAAGAAAGCAAATTGGATAATCGCTTTTCTTAGCAATAGAATGATACTTTTCTATGAGTGCAAAAGCCGAATATATCCCCGAAGGACTCGCGGGAATACTCGCCGTAACTTATTCATTATTCTCTAATTAAACCTTCTCCTGTCATGGCACGCTCCATCTAGATATTCCTTAGCCGACGATTACGACACGAACGTTATCGTGTTGTGTGTGTCGGCGATTTTATCTTGTTTCTCTCGACGTAATAATCGCTTATAATTTCTGATGGTAATGAGGATCACTCAACGCGGGCGTTAACGCGCAGGAAGAAGGATGCGAGCGTGTTTTCATAAGGAGGAAAGGGACAGGGAGCAAGCTTTTATCATGCTGCGAAGGAAACCGCGAAACTTGAAACAAGCGGAATAATTCGCGCGAGGTCGCACGCGCCACTTGTAGCGCGATTCCGTCCGCTAAAGCGATTAATGTCGCAGCCACCACCAACGGCGACGACGACGCCGAGCAACCGGACGATTTTCCTGTTAGCTCGCTATCCGGCACCAGAAAGCTTGAACTTGGAAACTGCACATTTGGCGCATAATCGTCAATGAGCCCGTGAACGACCGTGAGCGCGCGTGATGTAACAACAACGGAAGTTACATCCGTCACTTTCCTATTTCAGCTACGAGCATCATATTTTGATTTTATCGCGTTGCTATGTGTGTCGCGCGATTCTCCAATCAACTTCAGGCATCATTTAAGGCAAAAGTACTAATTCTCGGACACGTATCTAATCCCGAATATTCTTATTATTTTGGTCTTTAAATACAAATATTTAAACTTTTAATACAGAATACATATATATACTCAATTACATATATACATATTTTTTATATTGAAAGTTTAAATATTTATATTTCAAGACTAAAACAATAAGAACGAACTAAGAACAATAAGAATAAAATC